TCTTTCACACATATATATATATATATAAATTCTTTTTCATTTTTGTTATGTTTCTCGTAGCACAGGAATAAACTGTCAGTAAGATCTGTCTTGCTAAGGAACATAGTAAACTTCGCTAGAAACCTAGCAAATTTTTTAACAGCACATTTCAGTTGCTAAAATATAAGTACGTGAGTTTTAGTAAATCACTGCAGAATGTTGATTTACTCCTCGATTACAAAATCCCGTAGCAATTTTTACTATAAAATTCTCTTCGTGTATACAGGTTTGACATGCAACAAAACCTATAAGACGCTTCGCATCCCGAATTAGTACATTTCTAAGCAAGCAATATTAAGTAAACTTTTCTAAGCGAGCGATAATCTGTCAGTTTCATACGTTCATGATACCTCCTTATTTGGCATTGTTGTGGGTGTTTCAGTCACACGACAAGCCGATTTCATTTCACCGACAGCTTTATATATGCGCAACACAAATCTAAGTTAATATCACAGAAAGATATCGACTATCCTCTAAAGAGCAACTTGATATTCGTTCCTTACGACACGTATGTGAAACGCTCTGTAGACGAAGTTTACGATGAGCGTACGCGCATGTCGGAAACACGATGGAGTAAGAACTTTGAGCGTGTCGGCGTGGTCGTCATCGCAACACGTGGTCGTCGTGCGAGTTCGAGCGTCGAAAGTTTCGTGCCGTTTGAGCGGCTAAGAACGCGTTCCAAGAACGGTCCGGCTGCGCTGCACTTTCTCCGACGACCCTAAAAGCTTCCAGCGCGGCTCGCTGGAGCGAAAGTGCATTGACCTCGACGCGCGACCTCGGCGAGATGGTTCCGTATATTCGTGAAATGTGTTGAGCGCCGATCATCTCGCGACATTCTCGTCAGTTGCACGCTCGCAACGGTCAAGGAACAACGAGGAACTTGCGTTTTCGAGAGATTCTATCTTGATCACTTAAGGGTCACTTAAGGGTCACGGTTAATCGTGAATAGGTTGTGAACGTTACAACGCGCGATATGTCGCGTTACATGCTATTTACGGACTAGAAAAATGCGCACGTCTCTCTCTCTCTCTTTCTCTCTGCGTTCTTCGATTACTACTATTAGAAACTACCGCAACAACGTCTAGTATTACCGCCTCATACGACACCTCGCTTTCGCGAGGGATCTCGTAGTCGCGCTGTGAGTCATGCTGCGCGTATACATAATTATAGGAGAGATCCACGTTTGGGAAAGTTGAAATAAAAATCGCTCCTCGATGGTATGCGATATATAATTGCTCATTTTGATATACATATGTAATACTTTATATATATATATATATATATATATATATATATATATATATATATATATATAGAGTAAAAAGCTGTGTACACGCCTCTACCAATACTACATGCTATGTATAAATGTACAGACGCGCACGAGCGCGAATACGCTGCATAAACAGGCCCAATTTATACTTAACCCGCTTAAAGACTTAACGGAAATTCAAGTACAAGCTGCGAGGCTGTTGTCGTGATCTCTCGCGCTGGCACACGATTATTTATCAGCGCGTTCATTTTTTCTCATCGGTTCACTTCAACGCTGTCAACGAACTTACGTAAACGATCGGACAGGAAGCGAAATTATAATTTAACTCAGTCGTGCAAAACACGTTTGTGCCCCGCATGATACGCGGTTCCGGACGATTCTCTTGCAGCGCTTATACTACGCCTATGTTGGCACTATGTTGGTCGCAAGTAAAAATCATAGGATCCCCGATATTCAATCGTTGAAATCTCGAGATTTCAGTATTACCGGAATCGGATCCCTAATCGTGGATATCTCGAATTAGATCTGAATGTAACGCTTGCTCTCAAGATGAAGATATATCGATAATTATTCGGACTAATTCAATCGTCAAATAATACTCGATGTCGGCGATTGGAAAATAAACCATCTGCGATGTACTGTGAGTCGTTTTGGTGACTTGTTGCGGCGCGCTTTAAACTCGCACAGTAATGCCTGGAAGGAAATACTTCTGGCACGGCGATTATCTGAGGATAACGTTGTCAAATCCCGGTTCTTGCGTTGAACGCCGGATTTCTTCGGATTAATCCGGATATGCCGGATTATTCGGACGGAACTTTAGCGATAGATAAGAAACTGCTGAGCGTTCGATATATTGCGGCACGAATATACAATATTCCAGTCATTGTATGTCTACAGAAATTAATCTGTTACGTGTAATACGTAGAAACGCGACGTGCATCGACGATACACGGCGTAAAGTTCGCGTCTCTCGCCGTAGATTGTTACTCGCGCCGCAATTACTAATAATTGACGGCCATTTCCAATCGCCAAATAATACTCGATGTCGGCGATTGGAAAATAAACCATCGTTCATATCATCTGCGATGTATTATGAATCGTTTTGGTGACTCGTTGCGGCGCGCTTTAAACTCGCACGGTAGTGCCTGGAAGAAAATACTTCTGACACGGCGATCATCTAAGGATAACGTTGTCAAATGTCAAATCTCGGTTCTCGCGTTGAACGCCGGATTTCTTAAAGGGATTCCACGGCAGCCTCCTGACTACGTGCGCCGTAGTGACGGATCCCGCCGGGCTCGGCTGGCCAGAAGAGACGCCGGAGGAGCTGCTCGCCGAGACGCTGCCCTTATCGTGGTGATTGTTGGGTTTCCCTGGTTTCTAAAATAATTAGTTTCTATCGTCGTACTTTGACATTCAGTTCTTAGATATCTATGGTAGACTTGATCATATTCACCTTTAAGTAATTCCTGTCCATGGGTGTGACTAACTTCAAATTTATAAAGTCGCCGCACTGCTTTATCATACGTACGACTTGCTCGTGGGACGCCCACTTGACGTCCTTGTCGCCGATGCCGACTATGAAGTCGCCCTCCTTCATCCCGCCTACCTGAAATGATAATCTTTCGCTGTCATACATATATTCGTTGCCATAATTTTATTAATTGGAATTAATTATTATTATTATAATAAAGTTAAAAAAACATATATAAAATGTATTTTATATAAATATATAATTATATAATAATTAATTATATTACATCGCAGTGTTCGGAATTACTTGAATTTTCGAGGCGATTTCAACCAAGATGTGCGGGAGCCTCCCTCATTTCTTAAGGATTCCTCTTGAAACTAATGTCGTTATCGTTATAATAATATATTTTATCGTTATAATAAAAAGCACTGCGACACTCAGGCTTGACAAGTAACAGACAAGAAAAAGAAAGAAGGTAGAATTCGAAATCGCCTTAAAAGTACAAATAATTCTGATCACTATGTTACAGTAAATGAAGTTAATCAATATAATCTTACATCAGCTAGCGAATTATGATCGACGGCAGCTATTATCACCGGAGCATCACCGCGGACGCTGAATCCAAAGCCTTCACCGTCGGGACCTCGTTGGAGCTGTACCAGTCGTGGCGCGGTCCAATGCCGTTTGGCCGAGAATATCGCTACGGGTCCCAACGATCTGAAAAGATCGTCCACTCCGTGCTGCCCGAAATCTGGATGGGTGATGCTAAGTTGAAATTTCGTGGAAGCTGTACGGAGAAGATAACAATATTGGAAATTGGCATTTTGATGGCTATTAAAAAACTAATCTAAAATATTTTAAGACAAAATGTTTACCGATAATGTCTGGCGGATCCAGCAATTCTCGAAAATCGTCTTCGTTGCCGAATCTGTTGTAGCTGTCGAGTGTCGCTTCTTGCGCCTTCTTCAGAACTCTCGCCAGCGCTTGCTTGCCTTTCAGATCGCGGCACATTCTCTGCAGTCGTTGACTCTCGTCATGCAGAACAAGAGCCTCTCTGAGATGCGCCTTGCCTGTGCAAAAATAAAAGTATAATATTCAGTTATAATCTATTTAATTGAATTAAATTTTTCTTCATTGCCTCGATTTTGTATTACTAAGCAAAAGCAACATTTGACAATATAATAAAGAAAGTTGAATATAACGATTTGAATCATTTATAGGATGATAAACACATGCGTTAACAAATTAGCAGGAACGTACCCAATAATTTCCTCTCGTTATCATCCCTGGGAATTGTCGCGTCTAACTGTGTCTTTCCGTCACTTTTCTGAATGTGCTCCAACGTGAGTCTAGTTTCTACGCGAAACTCGACGATAGGTCTGTCCAGCAGACCGACCGCGATATGCTTGTGAGCAAGAGCGAGGTGGTGCTCGCGCTTCACTAGTATCAACGAGATCCAAGTTTCCGGGACATAGTCACGAACTGGCTCGCGCGATATCAATCCGTGGACATCGTTGTATATCGCCGCAACCTGTATTGTGATTATTACAGTGACTCACATACACATATACACGCTCGCGTTTATCTTGAGAATTATCGCCGCAGGAAGGATATCTCACCTGAGCAGCCTCTTGAGCAAGATCCAAACAAACGTCAATGTTCCTCCCGTCCCTCGATTGAAGCTCCAGCTTTTCGAACAGGCACTCTCGCGCTTGAGCCTGAAACGTAAAAATGAGATAAATGGACGATTGAATACGATGTGATAGTAGACAGTATTTAAAGTTCACAAGATAAAAATCATGTTTCCTCCAAACGAGTTTCTCTGCCATATAAAAAATATAAAATTTTAATCGAACGACATGATAATCGATAATATAATTATAAAATAATGATAACAACGAAAAGAAACTAACAAGCATGAGCTGCACGAGCATTTCCAACATATCTGGGCCCAGATCCATGCTCGGTGCGTTCGTAAAGTTCTCGTGGATGTACCGGAAGGTACCGGCCGCCCTCAAGAAAGCGTCGACCGCCTGATCAAGACCACGAGCGGTCATGCGATCTTGCTTGGCCGCCAGCTGCGTGTAGAGCGCGCCGGCGTTGAAGAGAACCGAGGCCTTCTCGAAGGCAACCGTTCGTTGACAACTGGGTACTCCCGTCAACGAGTCGAACCACTCAAAGTAAATGCCGAGACTCCTGTCGGGCGGGAAGAAACGCCTCTCTATGAAATAGAGTTGATTGTAATAACGCAACAGCAGCGCTATCCCCGCCGAGTCTCTGGTCGGCGTCCTCGTAGCCTGCAAATATTAAGATGGTGAAGATAAATGCTAAGCAAAATTATAAATGCAAAGAAAAAAGATTTTCAGAAATAGAAATTTTGAAATTAAAATAAAGACAATTTTGTGATGAAAAAAGCACACGTAATTTCCTTACTTGTCTAGTCTCCATTAGATCGGCTATAGCTTCCTCGTAGTTCTCACCATCCTCGCTGTAGTGCTCCAAGATAAAGTCCTACAAAGAGGAAAAAGGATCGTTTATGCAGGGCGATCAGTAATTCACGGCACGTGCACGTGGCACGTGGAGCCGCGACTGACAATGTTGAATCGATATCTTCTTAGCAACTGCCAGACGGCAGTCTTGGTTAACGTGCATCTCGCGCAGCTCTGCTCGAAGTAGAGACCGTAAAATCACGAATTTTCCGCTTATTAAATAATTGGCGCGACGCGACGATGGTAAAAATCACTCTGGAACTGATACGAAAGCGCTCAGAGCATAACGAGGGCGAGATATCCACGTTGGAGGAGATAGCCTTGCACCAAGAGAACATTGATAAGATCGATCTGATAAACAGGCACTGCAAAAATCTCAAGATCCTACTTCTGCAGCACAATCTCATATCAAAGATTGAGAATCTGAACATGCTGAAGAAGCTGGAGTACTTGAACCTAGCTCTCAACAATATCGAGGTTATCGAGAATCTGGAAGGTCTGGAGAGCTTGAAAAAGTTGGACCTCACCGTCAATTTTATCGGAAATCTACAAAGCGTAAAGAAACTCAGGTACCTTTCTCTTCCTTCTCGAGAAATTATGTATTAAAATATCATGATGAATATTTCTAAGACTAATGCTTCACTAATATTCACTGAAATGTCAACATTTCATCTGAACTCGAGAAGAAATGCACTTCAGTGCTTATCCTGAATGTTCATCCGGAATAATGAACGAATAATAAACCTGAGCATTCGTCCGTTTCCCCGTTTTATACTTTATCGTCAACCGACCCGTCAAACACGCGCTTTTTCGCAATTTGTCGTTCTCGTAATCATAATCGCCCGCATGTCTCGCAACACACGTTGCGGACGCTTCCGCGTCAATTTGAACGCTGCTCTCTACCGATTTCGCATTATGACACTCGTCAAGTCTAACAGAAGCAATGAATCACATTCGATTCGTTCGACAGATGCAACGAGAACCTGGAGCAGTTGATCCTAATGGGGAACCCGTGCGCGGATTACGAGTACTACAGGCAATACGTCGTGGCGACTTTGCCGCAATTGCGCGAGCTCGACATGAGGGAGATCGAAAGGTCGGAGCGCATCAAGGCACTGCAAGTGTACGCGCGAGCACAAGACGACATTATCGAGGCGTATCGATGCTACGAGAAGACCAGACTGACTCGACAGGCGCGTCATCGTCGTGACACTACACTCCAAATCACCGAGATAAATGAGTCTGTGAGTTCTCCGCGTGTGTGTAGCGTCGTCTCGTGTCGGCAATTCAATTCCTGAGCTCTGAATGTAATTTTCAGCACAAGATCGACTTCCGTTCAGCAATTATTCGTGCAATAGTGAAACGTTCACATCTTGGAAAGTTACACGTTAAATTAAACATTTATAATAAAATCTTTAAGTCCAACTCTTTAAGTGGTATATCCGGAAAAGTTTCGTGGTTCCTTTTAGCTTGTTTAAACTATTCTTTTTGCTCAACTCATAGCAAATATAAATGAAACTTATGTATACTTTGTATGTTGTTATTCAAAATTCTCTCCAAAGAAAATAACAATAAAGAGAAAAAAGATATGCTTATTTGAAAACTCTCGCTCTGAGAGAGATCGCGCAGTCATTTTAAATTGCGAAGAGTTGTTATACAAAACACACTCGAGAAATTTCGGAGAGCGCTATGGATACATTTGTTGCTAGGTAATTCCGCGTCCAAGCGATATGTAAGAAGTGAAAACATAAATTACAGCGCGTAATACTTCCTTTCAGAACGCCACAGAGGAGAAGCAAGAGACAGAAAGTACAAAGAACGAAGAGAACGGAAACGCAAACACAGAACAGAATGACGAATCGGAGGATGAACGTTTCTGGAAGCAGCCTAGTTACCATACGCCGGAAGACAGAATCGCTATTGCCGAACGATTCGCCAGGAAACAAGAGAGGAAGAATCGCTATTCCGACAAGAGGGCCGATCTCTCTAAGCGCGTGCTGAAATTATTCGCACCGGACGGACGAGCTTACAATATCAATCAGCCGAAAGTGCCGTTCAAGTTAAACGACGAGGATGACCCTAATTTCGTGGTTCTCGAAGTTGCCGTTTACAGGTAATTACTGACACGATGATTAAAGCCCTTCGGCGTTACAATTAGTTTTTCTGCATGTTATCTTGGAAATTGAATAAACCTTTACAATCCGAGAGACCACTGTAGTGACGCAGCAACAATTTGTAGGCACTTGGACACCTCTTATATTGACGTCGATGTAAACCCGACGTACGTGCGAGTTACCGTAAAAGGGAAGATACTGCAGCTGACCCTACCCTGCGAGATATCGGTCGAGAGGAGCAAAGTCCAACGGAACACGACCACCGGGAGCTTGGTGATCACCATGGCCCGTTTAGCGCCGTGCACGACAATAACCGCGAAGAGAGACGAATCAGCGAGCGAGAAGGAGCCGTGCAAACGCGAATCGAGGGTCACCACGGTTCGACCACTGGTGATTTCCCGACGTGCTCTCCTCGAGATCGGTCCGCCCTCGGATATTCTCGATTTTCTTAAGATAACCGAAGATCCCGCCGACGCGAAACGAGGCCAGAGGAACATCGCGAGAGCAGAGGAGAGGACTGAGAACGACTTCCAAGACAATCCGGATGTGCCGGCGCTCGAATGAGTGGCGATAATGCGCCAGCGGACGAAGAGAGACTCATTATCGCGAATGACGATGAATTGGAGAGTTGGCGCGATCGAGTCGACTCACCTTAAACGGATCCCGAAAGTCGATGTCTTTGGTCTCCTTCAGTCCCAATGGTATCATCGGCATAACGGGCTCCTCGCTGAAAGGAGAATACCGTTCGATGCAGCGCATATATATGCATTCTCCCCGTACGTATCTCGCATCCAAGCTCATAATTCTCCTTGGACTTACCCGTCGACATTCTGATAGAGCTCCACGGAACTGTTCAGCTCGGCGAGCTGTTCCTTCAACAGCTGCAGGTTCGAATTCACGTAGCTCAGCTCCAAGGCGACGGTCTCCTTCAGCTTTCTGTTTGTCGTCGCCCTGTAACGCAAGTATCAATTAGCACGAGCGTCGCTATCCAGCGGTCGCGTTCCTCACATCGGACGATCCTTTAAACGCTCACTTAAAGAGATTCTCCGCGCCCGCTCGCAGCCGCAGCTCCTTGTTAATCTCCTGATTGAGCTTGCTTCGCTTGTTCTGCAGCTTTCCTCTGCAGGTCGCTACCCTCGGATCCGAACCCTGCGAACCATGAAACGCATAGTTAGCGATGCCTCCGACGCATCATGCACGGCCCGTAATCATATAATTCGCAAGGATCGCCACGACGATAAAGACCAGTCCCGCTCACCACGTTAATCAACCGCCGGTCTCCGGCTGGCGATTATCTATCCTTTCGTATCATAGTTCGAGCCACAACACGGAAAGGAGCGAGACGATGATAAAACAATCTTCTTTACTATCTACGTTAATCCCTTCAAAGTAAATGCGTACAATGCAGATTACCCGTAATCTTTTAGAAAGCTTTCCTTTTCGATAACATCTGAGACAGAAAGAAAGTGTGCGTGTGCCTATTGTTATTGAATGCTGCCTAGTAAGATTAGAGCGATTCCAACGTCGATTAGGATTAAGGATAAGTCCTATTAACTCAATTTCCTTCTTGTCGGTTGATATTATATGATTATCCAAAGTAGGACACGGGATGATAGATGGTTAGTTTTATATGGAAATATTTCACGTTCAGATATTTACGTTTGATCGAGAAAAAATTAGATACCTCTCGCTTTCAGGGAAAATTGCTTGTTAATGAATTACACGCAAATGTCAACCAAAAAGATATAATCTCATCCTTGGTGGAATTCTCCTATATATGGCCTCAAGTGGATTCTTCTATTCGAAAGGGAAATATTCTAAGCACAATATTATTCCTCTTCATTAGAAGACGAATACTCGGCACAATATTGCTAAGCACAATATTATTCCTCTTCTAATGAAGAGAGGAGTACTCTTTCGCTAAAAGTGTCCGCTTAGAATATGAGATTGCAGGAAATAGCAATAGGACTTTTAACTGTATTAGACATTCGAGTATTTTTTTTTGGTTTTAAAAGAATTCTCTTGAGATCGTATCCCTTTGTTATTTTGTACTATTAAAAAAGATACATTTATTAATAGATTTTTGTAAATAACAAAAATAGTAATATAAAGTTTAATAATTACTTAATTAATATACAATGTTTCAAAACATTGGGTTGGCCCATTTAATTCATTTCCAAAAATTTCTTTCAGAGAGTTACATTTGGTCTGGGCTCCTTAAGACCAAGTTCCACACAATCCGTTTAATTTTAACTACCGATTAAGTCCCAATAGTGAATTGATTAATTCTGATTAACTCTTCTTAATATCAAACGCGATTGGTCAAGTCCAATGGAATAACCAGCCAGTTAAGTTAACTGGAGGTTGTGGAACTAGCCAAATCACACTAATGATTGGCGATAGATGATTGACGATTGAAGATTGGAACTTGACCAATTGGAACAAAGCCAAGGCTTAAGCTTGTCGATTCGTTAAACTCTAATCTTTAATTGTCAATCGTCAATCGCCAGTGTGATTCGGCGTTAACAGTGTCTTGACCGATTTACTCCAAAAAGTTGCATTTGTTCCACGTAATTTTCCCTTATTGTAGTAAGAAAATTCCGCTGATGATGAGATCATATGTTTGGAACAGTCGTAAAAATTCAAATGTCGAGAGTCTCCATTGACTCGCCATTCCGTTTCCGGCGGAGAACGCGGCCGCTTCTATCGATCTTTCGGCGTTCACACGCGAACAGAGCGCGAGAACGTGTCAGAAGGAGCCGACCTCGGGAGACCGGTGTGTGTGTTCGCGCGCAGTCAAGTTCGACTTCCTTCGCTCCTTACCCCGAAGCGGAAGCACCTCCTCATGATTGCGTCCGGCGTGGCGGTTTTCGCGTTTCGCGCACTTCGCACCGTGCCGCCGCCGTCCTTTCTTCGTTCGCTCGCCTTTCTTTCGTCCGTCTTCTCGTCAGTCGCCGTCTCGCCGCCACCTGGCGCGACCATTTTCGCGCCTGCGGGCGCGATCTCACGATCTTTTGGCAACGGGCAGTAGTGCACCCACTTCAGCATGATCGCCGATGCATCGATGGCGATCCCGACCGTACCATCAGAACCGGAGACTGTCCTCGCCGCGGGCGGAGATACGATTTTCTAGCCGGTCGTTCCCTTTCTTTTCTCTTCTCTTTCTTTTTTTAATTGCGTCCGAAAACGAGAGATCAAGAGTGAGACACGAGTTGGGGTGTTCTTGAGAGTCGCAGCACACGCGTCGCGAATATTTCGTAACGTTCGAGAGAAAGAGAGAGAGAGAGAGAGAGAGGAACGTTACGTCTGGGATCCTCTGTGCACGCAGAAAATATTGTAATAAAAATTACGTTGAAATTATATTTCTTTTTAAAATGTTTTTCGTCAAAAATTGGACTATATTGAAATTGTAACATGAATTATTGCAGAAATCTGTGATGATCTGACTAATGTATGATATGAAAAAAGAAATAAACATAATTTTGTGGTAAAACAAACAGTTAAACATGCGTAACATTTTTTTTTAAATATACAGCAATTTCAGTCGTAATTCTGTATGATCCAAGATCATAAAACTTCTGTTGTAATTTCTACTGCGATATACTTATACTTTATACTTTCGCCACACGTGTAAAGCCTGAAATATCACGGATCCGAGAAAAGTCATTCCCCCGCTCCCCTTACAGCGCTCGTTTTCGCAATCTCGCCTACGTGTACCATCTTGCAGAATTCAATGCGCGAAAGATCGATCGTAAAAGTCCACACGTGATTTACGCGCGACGTAAAGACGCAGACTCTCTCGTCCTTATAAGACTCACGATCTATCTGGAGAAGCTTCGCCAATATACCCACGCTGTATAAAACAATTTCAAGTAAATGTCGTTTTCATTTTCTCATTTTGTTTTCCATACTTCATGTGTACCTCTCTCTTTTTCTTTCTTTCTTTCGGAACAAGAGCGCAAGGATTTCGACTTGCCGAATGTTAAACGAATATCAATAAGCGCGAATGGCTCGCGCTGACGGAACGATACGGCACAACCGACGACACCTAGTCGTGCCTAATCGTTTTGAATAAAACGCGTCTTCCAAGGAGACGCGTTATGAGATGCGGCTTCGCATTCTCGACTGGAATTTCGCGAAAGAGGTGCTTCGGGGAATCCACTGCAGCGGTCCACGGCTCCGCGTCTCTCGGCGGGAACAGGAGAATAAATCTGAACGAAGAATGCGATTCTCTGAATTTTGCCGCGGGACCCGATGACCTCATTTGCTAATTCGATGCGCGAACATATAAAATAATTGCCGGTCGCGAGGAAAATATGCGGTAGGCGGAACTAGGTTATTAGTCTCTTATGAGGGAGGGAGGGAGAGAGAGAGAGAAAGAGAGAGAACTTGATGAAACTGCTATCCATCAGATTAGAACTCTCTCTCCTCCCTCTCCTCTCTTTCTATACCTCTAATGCTGCTCTCATTTTATACTAAAAAATAAAAACATAAAAATGTAATTGAGGACGTCAAATGGAATTTCGAATTAAGACTAAATTAAAATGCTTTTTTTCACAGATAAAACCTCGATGTCTCATTACAGAAAGCAATACAATAATCTGCTCTTAAAAAGTTTTCCTTTAAGTCGGTTAAAAATAAAAATTTTATCCCGTATCTCTTTAGACGTTTTGGCATTTTCAAGAAAGCAATGGAGTTACTCAATTTTCAAGTCACCTGAATAAACTCGACTAGTGACACCAATCCACATATCACGTAGATAACATACTGTGACAAAAAGTTAAAAAAAGTTTCATCTCAGTCTCTCTAACCGTGCTCGAGTTAAGAGGAGGCGTGCAAACACAAACAAACATGCAGAACAAATTAGAGGCCTCCTTTTCTTGAAGTCTCGATTATAAGAAACAAATCTTCAGTCGCGCGAAAAATCTTAGAAAAGGCACGATGCAATATTCCACACCACGAACGTTTTCCAAAGCCCCTTCTCGCACTACTCGCGACCTCAATCGTGAAAATGGAAGAGTGACAGTATCGATGTCAACGCGATTACGGCGGCACTGATAAGCAATTGTCAGCGTCGGCGATTATAGGCCCAAAGAGAAAAGACAAAAGAGAAAAGACAAAAGAGAAAAGATAAAAGAGAAAAGACAGAAGAGAAAAGGGGAAAGAGTTCGGACAGGCTCGTGTGGTTCAAACGCGGTTAGCCTTAGACGTAACGGCGGACTAGGCGTTCGCGTTACCGTAATTCCGTTCCACTCTACTTAATAAGCCATTTCGCTAATGCGATAAGCGCGCGATTCGGAGGTAACGATAGGTTATCCGTGGCTGCCGTTCGAGCGAGCCGAAAGTTCGCGAGAGAGGCGCCTCCAGCCTCTCCTCTTCCTCCTCCTCCTCGTCTCTCCTCCTTCCACACACTCCATTACCTCCGTTACAGTTTTCAGTTACGCGAAATTCGTTTGCGGCGCAATGTCGATTGGTTACGATGTCATAATGACGCGCATCGCCGAATAGACGAACAAGCTCTAGCCGATTCTTCCTTGTGTAACGTATGCAGTGACGTCTCAGGAAAGAACTCGTGGAGAACTCTGTCCTCGCACGGATTGCTTAAAACAGAATTGATTAGAATTGATTAGAGTAGAAGTAGTAAGGTAATTCAAGAGGCAGAGTTCCCAAATTCGATTCTATCTATGCCGAGCAAATTTGTCAAATATGATACCAACTGAGTCAATTAGAGGTCACATAATTAAGAAGATTTTTCAGGAAGATTAAAATCATTGACAACATTCTAAAAACAACGCAATAAGAAAAGAAGATTAATTTAATATTTTTTCATTGTAAACATTTTTGTTGTGTTAAAGACAACATTAAAAATATGTCAATTTTGCATAAAATTTGTTTTAACATAGTGTTAATTTTTTGTATTAATTTCTGACATAATATTTGTGTTAGTTGCTAACATTTGCCTTGTGCTAAATTAACACAAAAATTTGAGTGAATCGTTCTGGACATGTGAAGTATGTTAAATTTAGCACAAAATTACCGTGTCTAAAATTCCTCTCCGATGAACGAGTAAACAAGGAGAAAAGCGCGAAAGCGCGCCGCACGGAACGTCGCGGGTCCTTAAACTTCGTTTCGCGGGACCTTGACCATTCTGCAGCGAATTAATTCTTAATGGTCACGGCGCCTCGCTCAGACACGAGCAACATCACGTAACATTTTCCTCGTGTGAGGGGGAACGATTCAAATAGGATATGCAAGAGCTAACTCGGTCAAGCAGAAGTTGCGATCGGCGTTTCTCGTTCCGTAGGAAATTGTAACGTCGGCGTTCCTCCGTGACATAAATATCGGTGGCACAGGTGTCCGTGTGTGAAACGCACGCACACGCGGCCAAGGATACGCCCGTCATATACAGGGTGTCTCAAGACCCACGAGCTTTCTCCGAGCTGCAGGTATCACTTGGAGGCAGTGCTTTCTTAATTTTTGGATACGAAACTGTGTGTCGAGGGAAATCATCATTTATATATTCAAGAGAGCGAAAGAATTTTTTGTAAATTCCAACAAAAAAGCAGATGTTTAAACAATTATAATTAATAAGTGATTTTTCGTAAATTGATTCGATAACTACGATGCATCATTCTCGACGCGCAAACATCCCAGATAGACTTTCAGGATTACTACAAAGTGACACAATAGGTAAGGTTTTTAAAAAATTATCTTTATGAGCTAAATGTACACCTAAAAAAGAATTTCGATTGCAAGGTCCTATTTCCTGTAATCTCATATTTTGAGATTTTATATTGATGTTGTCTCGAGCAAATTCTGATCGTTCCTCTCGTTTCTCTTTCGCATTTCTGTGGAATGATAAATATGAATGCCACGTGAACTATTCATAAGGCAGCCTTTACGAATCGACTAGTGTGAAGTCGCTGCCAAATTTGTCAGTGCAGCGAGATCAGCCGTTAAAGGACCCCGCACAAAACCTATGGAAAATGGTTTTCGGTCAAATTGGCTGAAATTTCATCATGTTATAGTTTTCGCCATGCTGATAAAAAGTTATCATTGCACCAAGTCCCAAAAGTCAATATTTCCCAAGATATAAAGGGTCAAAGTAGTGAAATATGGTCATCCGCAGTAATAAGACGTATGTTATAAGTATAAGTGATACATTGATATTTATTCACGAAATAAATAAAAATCGATTTTTACATATATATATGTAATAAATATTTAGTTCCGCAATATATATGTATATGTATACAGGGTGGGGCAAAAGTATCGGACCGGTGAAATATCTCGAAAAATATAAGTTTTACAAAAAACTGTTTCAGACCTTAAAAATATTGCGGAACTAAATATTTATTACATATATATATATATATATATGTAAAAATCGATTTTTATTTATTTCGTGAATAAATATCAATGTATCACTTATAACATACGTCTTATTACTGCGGATGACCATATTTCACTACTTTGACCCTTTATATCTTGGGAAATATTGACTTTTGGGACTTGGTGCAATGATAACTTTTTACCAGCATGGCGAAAACTATAACATGGTGAAATTTCAGCCAATTTGACCGAAAACCATTTTCCATAGGTTTTGTGCGGGATCCTTTCCGCGAGAGGAGGAAGATCGAGGGCGGAATTCAGCGAATGCTCTCGCGATGATGCGGAGGGAATCGCGCGATCCTCGCCGACACCGAGTGTACCGAACGACGCGTACGCGACGTTAACGACTGCCGGATGTTATCGCGCGCTAAATCTACCGTAACTCGCGCGTTATTAAACCTCGCGGCCCAGTAGCCGGCCGGCCGGTCGCATAACTGTTCGCCGTATAGGCGAATCGAACGCACCGACGGGCGATTAGTATCGGTGAACCAAATCCGATATTGCTCGTCCGTGCGTAAACAGCAACTGTTTGCCGTGGGGAACCGTCTCTTCGTTGGGATACATTGAATTATGATTGACACGCATTAGAAATCTCGCATTAGAAAACTCGTGTCATGAGCAGGAGAATTTAATCGATCGTCGAGAGGAATCGCGCCGCACGATAACGCCGAAATAACGCTCGAATTCGTCTCAGTAGACGCTTTCGGAATCTTTCTTCAGACACCTGGAATGTGCAAGTAATGGCACGATATACGCGATTACCTCTTTACGGGTTTGATCGCTGAAATTGCGCGCGGAGTGGTAATTCGAGTGTTGCACGCGCGGAGACCATTGTTGTTCGCGGATGGCACGCTTCCGTCAAATGTATAATCTAAGACAGGAACGTGAAAAAGGCACTACCGTAAAATAATGCTTCTCGGATGTCGCATGGATAGATTGTAAATACCTACGCAACTGAGACGATTTGCGTAATAAAACGCGGCAACCGTTGCTTTTTATCGCCCTCTTAGGCAACAAATAGACTTCTATCGTCATCGTGAGACAACTTGTAATGTAAACTCCACAGTTTCTTTTCAATTACATTTATGAAGTAGATATATGAACTGAATTAATGCAATATGAATATTTCGTTGTATTGATGCTGCAACAAATTCGCTAAAAGTTACGTTCAGATTTTCATATTACATTCGACTTGATATATTGTTCAATTTTGATCATTCTTTTCGTTTTTCTTTCGTATTTCTACTTCATTCTACGCGACAGATATACTAGCGAATAATACTTGCAAATTTATTGCAGAATATATAGTTTTTTTATTTGTGGAATTATAAAGTTCACTCATAAAAATAAACTTCATATCCCATGAATAAATTTTCAAGTACTCTTTTTCAGAGTATCGGTGCCACACGAATATTCATAAGGACACAGTTTCTACAGCTCAACTAACAAAGTTGCTGCCAAATAGATCTGTTTGTCTGGGACTGTGAAACGCAGATGCGCCTCAAATGATCTCGATAATAATACAGCAGATGGAACAGGTAAACCAATATTCGGTAGATGGAACAAGTAAACCAATATTTTGCGATCGATTGACATCACGCACCGAAACCGATAATGCTACATAACGCACAATACCCTATAATTTGCGAGGGAGGAAATTTTGTATCTTCATCATTTCCTATACGCAATACAATGTTCATACTCCCAGAACAATGACCGGTTGGTTAACTCATTATTGCATAACACCGCCTACATGTAATATATTCAATGCGTAGGCTACGCGTAAACGCCCAATGCTGCTCTTAATTCATCACTGTTTAATTTATGCGACCTCGTTAGGAGACCTTGTCTTGCCAAATTTATCAAACAAAGAGCCGCCTCGAGTATCGAGCCGATAAAAATTGTTCTCAACTAAAATCAGCAAATCAATAATTCCAAATTGAACAGTCGTCATACGCGTAATCGCGAATCATTTAATCGATTGATGAAACTGATCGTCAAGCAGCGTATAATCGATCAAATCAAAGTTTCATTAACAATTAATCTCATCAATCGATGAAATTTTTTATGATCTTATATGACTGATTATTTTAATTGGATTAACTTATTAGATTAATTCTGAGAATTGACTCGCCGATTATTTTAGCCAAAGAGAATTTCAAGTGACTGACACTCGAAAGTGTCTCGATGATTCTACAAGGAAACCGCTTCCGATTATTTGTTTGTTCTGTTAAATTTGTTTACATCGTGCGCTGTGTTGATCGTCGCGTTCAACGCAGTCGCGGAGCCGCGTCCAACGACGACCGTTTCCACTTGAGGTTTTCAGCGGCAATTTACCGTAATCGTTGATTACCGGAGGAATCTACCGCTTTATCTCGGACGCAACCGAACTTACCCCGTAAACACCAACTAATCCGTCTAAAACACAAACCAACGTCTATAATCGAGACACAAGACGTCTTTAAGACGTCTTCTACGACACTTTTCTTTCGTATTTCTTTCGTTTTACGTCTCGATTTTAGACGTTGTATTGTGTGGGTGACAGTAGCGTCGCTACGCTACGATCTCGACGATGCGAATGTTACGTAACACACGCGCTATACATTGCGTTTGCATTGTCGAGTTGGAGATTATAACGTCGACGTAATGTCACGGACGGTTGGCGCGTTTACCGGGTGGAGACCCCTTCGAGCTCTCTCTCTCTCTCGCGATCAGCACCACCGTAGTATCTCCCGCGGCGATGGCACAATTCCCATTCGCGATCAAACGCGATATCCGCACTCGGCTCCACACGTGACCCTTGCACTCGCGAGACGACCTCTCGGCGTTTGCCGGCAACTCCCTTGAGACGAACGCAACGTCGAGAACACGCAGCCGGCCACCGTCGTATCTGCCCGGCGACTAATCGCGAGGAGGTCGCCGGAATATGGGTCCCGTGTACGCACGACGCTCGGTGAAAGGAGAGAAACTCCGTAAATAATAGTGGGGAGGATAACGATGACTTTTTTCTCTCTCTCTCTCTCTCTCTCTCTCTCTCTCTCTCTTTCTTTCTTTTCCTCTTTTTCTGCCGTCGCGACTCTCGTGCGTACGCACGACCTCGACGAAGAGCACGAAGAGAATAATTTTATAGCAAGAAATTGTTATGGAATTTTGTAACCGAGAATTAGATCGGCGACCTGCAGCGATCCTTTCATCTCGTAGCACTACACTGAGAGAAAAATGTATGATATTTGGAACTATAATGGCATAGTAAAAATATTATAGTTAGGAATATAATTTTTATAGTAAATGTTACCATAATATTTGTAATATTTACAATATAAGTATAGTATAACTGACCCGTGTAAAATTTTTACCAAGAATTATAATTATTTGAAATAAAAAATATGGTAAGGTGGCAAATATTGAATGGTAAGAGAAATTAACTATTTTATATAGTCAATACAATTGGAATATTTGGCAAATATAGGTACATGTAACTATATTCTCAAAAGGTGCTTTACCATATATATAGAGTAATAAGATG